ACCTACAGTTGGCTCCGGGCACCCAAGATGTGGTCTGGGAGTGGTGTTCTGGGAACACGGAAAGCACAAAGTGGCCTACAGCTGGCTCCGGGCACTCACGATGTGGCCTGGGAACGGTGTTCTGGCAAGATGCACCGTGATTATGGACAAGAGTTTCGCACTTCCCAACGTTATGATTTTTCGTGTCCTAGCCTGGCTAGGACGAAACGAACATGAAAGCCACGAAGTGCGATAGGGTTGCAACCTTCCAACGTTATGAATGCCGTTTTGGAACTATGGTGCGGGACTTCCTGAGACCTGCGACACCTGTCGGTCCTGTGGGACCTGCGAGACCTGCGAAACTTGTGGGACCTGTGAGACCTACGACACCCGAGGAGCTTGCAACACCTGTGGGACCTGGGGGACCCCTGTGGCCTGTGGGACCCGTGGGACCTGCAAGACCTGTGGGACTGGTGGGACCCGCAACACATGTGGGACCTGCGGGACCAGTGGGACTTGTCGGACCTGCGACACCCGTGGGACCTGGGGATCGCCCTTGTCCGTGGAACCCTGTGGGACGCCTGGGAGCCAGCCGAAGCAACGCGTGAATGCGACAGGCATCTGAGGGTGGCAGAAGCGAAGTGTGTCGGAAAATGTGCGAGCTTAGCGTAGTCTTGGGGCCCGTAACAGCGTAGTCTTGGGGCCCGTAACAAAATGGCAGGGCCTTCCAGCAACGCTAACTTAGTATCCCTTATGCGCTCCTGACGTGATATTAAACAAACGAATAATACCCAGCGTGGCCCCCGAACGCCGATGTCTTGCAATCCACGAGGTGCAGTCTAGGCGGTACAACGCATGCGATGCAACCTAGGGAGCGCGAGCCACGCGGCGCAGTTCATGCAAAGCACAGCAACGCCAAACAACGCTACGGCGTCGCAGGTCTCAGGGGTCTCAGCAATGCAAAGCAACGCAAAGCAAAACACAAAATGACCTAGAGTTGGCTCAGGGCACCCAAGATGTGGCCTGGGAATGGTGTTCTGGGAACACGGAAAGCACAAAGTGGCCTACAGCTGGCTCCGGGCACTCACGATGTGGCCTGGGAATGGTGTTCTGGCAAGATGCATCGTGATTCTGGACAAGAGTTTCGCACTTCCCAACGTTATGATTTTTCGTGTCCTAGCCTGGCTAGGACGAAACGAACATGAAAGCCACGAGGTGCGATAGGGTTGCAACCTTCCAACGTTATGAATGCCTTTTTGGAACTATGGCGCGGGACTTCCTGACAAAGACGACGCCGTTCGTAACGTTGGAAATGCTTAAATAAGAATATTCGGAAATTCTTCATTCAAGAAATTTCAACGTTACGAACGGCGTCGTTGTTGTCAGGAAGTCCCACACCAGAGCTCCAAAAAGGCAGTCATAACGTTGGAAAGTTGCAACCCTATCGCACTTCGTGGTTTTCATGTTCGTTTCGTCCTAGCCAGGCTAGGACACGAAAAATCATAACGTTGGAAAGTGTGAAACTCTTGTCCGGAATCACGATGCATCTTGCCAGAACATCACTCCCAGACCACATCGTGAGTGCCCGGAGCCAACTGTAGGCCACTTTGTGCTCTTCGTGTTCCCAGAACACCATTCCCAGGCCACATCTTGGGTGACCGGAGCCAACTGTAAGCCATTTTGTGTTTTGCTTTGTCGCGTTGCTTCGCATTGCTCAGACCCCTGAGACCTGCGACACCTGTCGGTCCTGTGGGACCTGCGAGACCTGCGAAACTTGTGGGACCTGTGAGACCTACGACACCCGAGGAGCTTGCAACACCTGTGGGACCTGGGGGACCCCTGTGGCCTGTGGGACCCGTGGGACCTGCAAGACCTGTGGGACTGGTGGGACCCGCAACACATGTGGGACCTGCGGGACCAGTGGGACTTGTCGGACCTGCGACACCCGTGGGACCTGGGGATCGCCCTTGTCCGTGGAACCCTGTGGGACGCCTGGGAGCCAGCCGAAGCAACGCGTGAATGCGACAGGCATCTGAGGGTGGCAGAAGCGAAGTGTGTCGGAAAATGTGCGAGCTTAGCGTAGTCTTGGGGCCCGTAACAGCGTAGTCTTGGGGCCCGTAACAAAATGGCAGCCGTGGATGTAAAGAATTAACGCGAAACCCATCCGTAACATTGAATCCCGCCATTCAAAGATATGGAACGCGAACTGAGCATGAACGCCCCCAGGTTGAAAAAAATGCTTCCGTGTGTCGCGTTTATTGTTTACATTTTCGCGGGCAGCTTCCGATCTTGCCCTACCTGGAACTCGCGGCCTTGACATGGCGAAATCCCATGTTATGAATAATGTTCGCGTTAATTGTTTACATCCACGGTATCATCATCAGCAGCAGCAACAGCAGCATCATCATCAGCATCAGCATCGTCCTTCTCCTGATCATCATCACTACCACCACCATCATCATCAGCAGCATAGCCTGAGTAATGACCCTGAACTTGATAATGAGTATGAGGAACTCTGGGTGAGGAAGAGGAGGAGGAAGGAGATGAGGAGGAGGAGTGAGTGGGAGGAGTCGGCGCGGTCAGATGAATTCCTTATTGTCTGGAGGTCCTCATAAATGCATCTATGTGCATGGACCTTTCCGCCAGGAGCGTCTAGGCGCAAGAGTGTTCGGCTATAAACGGGCTTGAAGTATAAACGGGTTTTAGTATGGTTGAGTCTGAGTGTCAGTAGTCTAGGCATGAGAGGGTCTGGGTACTTATAATGCGTATGTCAGAGAATGAGTGAGTCTGAGTGAGAGCGAGTTTGAGTGTGGGTAAGTCTGGGTGTGAGTGGGCCTGGTACGAGTCTGAGGCGGAATGGGTCTGAGTACGAGTGAGTCTGACTACGAGTGAATATGAGGGTGGCTGGGTCTGAGTGTGAGTGACTCTGCGTGTGGGTATGTCTGACTGTGAGTGAGTCTAAATATGAGTATGGTGAGTCTGAGTCTGAGTCTGGGTGGGTCTGAGAACGAGTGAGTCTGAGTACGAGTGAGTCTGAAGGTGGGTTGGTCTAAGTGTGATTGAGTCCGAGTGTTTGTAAATCTGAGTGTTGGTTAGTCTGAGTAGGAGTATGATGAGTACGAGTATGAGTATGAGTGAGTCTGAGCACGAGTGAGATTGAACATAAGTGAGTCTAACATCCTCGCAATCTGAACCGCCTGGGGTGCGAAAACCAACGCCTTCTGGCCACCAAACCAGGCAAACCACTCGAGACATCATCGCAGGCTGGCCCCCCTGGTGTGCGAGAACCAGAGCCTCGCCCGGGACATCCTCAGAATCTGCTCCGCAAGCGGAAGATGTTGAGGATGCGAAACAGGCAAACCGCGCGACACATCTCCGCAATCTGGGCGCGAACGAACGAATGAGATACCCCCTGGGGGCGAAAACCAGCGCCTCGCCCGAGACATCCTCCGAACCTGCTGCGATAACGGAGGATGTTGAGGATGCAAAACAGGCAAACCGCTCGAGAAATCCCAGCAATATGGGCGCGAACGGAGGAGTAAGAAGTTCCTTCCCCCCCCCCCCACCCCCCTGGGAGTGCTGAAACCAGCGCCTCGCTCGAGACACCCTCAGAATATGCTCCGCCATCATCATCACCATCCGCATCATCATCATCATCATCATCATCATCATCATCATCATCATCATCACCACCATCATCATCATCAGCAGCAGCAGCAGCATCAGCATCAGGATGATCAGAATGATCAGAGTCAGCATCATCATCATCATAATCAGCATCATCAGCATCAGCATCAGCATCATCAGCAGCAGCAACAGTTGCATCAGCATCACCATCATCAACATCATCATCATCAGCATCAGCATCGTCATCACCACCTAGATCCGCATCATCAGCAGCATCATCACCATCAGCATGATCAGTACCATCATCATCATCAGCACCATCATCATCAGCATCATTGTAATCCTCATAGTCATATTCACCATGGCATAACCTAAGTAGTGAACTTGGGTGCGACTCTAGATTAGGAAGAGGAGGAGGAGGAGTGAGAGAAGCTGGCGCGGTCGGAGTAATAACAAGAACCCCATCCTTTGGATATGGAGAATAATAGAACCACTTTGGAGATGGGGAATAACAAGAAGCCCACGTTTGGATGCGTGGAAAAAAACACACACACACAAACATTACCGACTGTAATCGATTGGAAGGCCCGCGGCCCGTTTTGCGTCCCCGTTACAGCCCGTCGCTGCAGCCACGTTGCACACGCACACACACACACACACACACACACACACACACACACGTTGCATTGAATTGCAACGCAATGCGACTGCAACGCAGCAATGCAATCACATTGACTTGCCTTGGCTTGCACTGCCCTGCGTTGCTTTGCATCACATTGCATGGACTTGCACTGCCTCGTCTTGCTTCGCATTGCTTCGCATTGCTTCGCGTTCCTGAAACTTGATCTGCAATGCTTTGCGTGACCTTGCTTTGAATTTACATGACTTTGGATCAAATCGCACTGGTGTGCATTACGTTGCTTTGCTTTGTGTTGCGTTGTTGTGCGTTGCGCTGCAGTGCGTTGCACTGATTTGCGCCGCATAGTTTGCACGCCATCGATTGCACCACGTACAGTGCACCGCAAATATATTGCAGGAAGCCACTGTTTGATACCCACAATGGCATACATGCTTTGACAGGTAGGATGGGGCATCATGGATCTAGTGGCTATCGGCCGGCTAGGCGGCAGAGACGAAATACAAAACTCAATGTAGCCAGGTCGAGCCAGTGAGAGTGCAAAGATTGCACGGGTAAGACAGGCAGGAGCCATGCGCCAGCCAATGGCACGGCGCCTTGGCAGAATGATGCGGACACGCATGACTCATGCAGAAGAGAGGCAAGAACGTGCCGCAGCCTTCAAGCAGAGTAAGAGTACACACCACTAAGGAACGACGATGAGGAGTGAGGATAGTAGTAGTAGGAGGAGAGGAAGGAGGAGCCCCTCCCCTTGCTCCTTGAGCAGCTCCTGCACGGCGCTGGCCACGGTGTACACCATGGCCATGCCGAGGGAAGACTCGATCGACTGGGGTGGCGATGGCCCTCCCTCCCCTGGACCGCCCAGCCATTCTCCCAACTTGGTCCCATGTGCTCCTCCTTCCCACGCCCCCCTCTCATCCGTCCTCTGTGTCTCTCTCTCTCTCTCTCTCTCGACCTCTACAGCATCTTCCTCCTCATCTTCCTCCGCCTTCTCCTCCTCGTCCTCCTCCTCACCATCATCATCGTCATCATCGTCATCATCAGCAGCATCATCAGCATCATCATCAGAAGCATCATCATCGTCGTCCCCATCATCATCAACATATTCATTATTATCACCACCACCACCATCATCACTATCAACGTCATCATGTTCATCATCATGTACACCATCATCACTATCGTCCTCATCATCATCAGCAGCATCAGCATCGTCCTCATCATGATCGTCGTCATCGTCATCGACAGCGTCATCGTCATCGTCGTCATCGTCGTCATCATCGTCACCATCATCCTCGTCGTCATCATCATCATCCCCGTCATCATTCCATCCCTCTCTCTCATACTTCCTTCCTCTCTCTCCTCCTGCTCCTCCTCCTCCATCCTGGCTCCTGATAAACAAGTCCTCATCGTCTAACCACCAGACGTGTCAGTAGGGTGGGCCATGCCTTTTCGCCAGTTTATGGCCCCGAAGCTGAGACAATCCAACAGTTACACGGATGCAGCGGGTGGCTTTGAAAATGCGGCTCTCCAACTGTTGCAAGGATGCAAAGGAATACTTTCCCAAATGTGTATATCCCCGTATTCCCGCACCCATCCGTCTTACAATCTTGCAACAGTTTCACTGGTGGAGGGAAGTTCTTCAAAATGCGGTTCTCGCCTTAGCGCCGCGCACATTCGTGCTAACAGTTCCGAACGGATGCACTGATAGAGGGCAGATCCGTTTCGAAATGTGGCTCTGGCATCAGAGCATCAGCAATTGCACGGGTGGATGGGGGTACGTTTTCGAAATGCCGCTCTCACCTGAGCGCCGGGCACACTCGTGTTGAGAAAGTTTTCCAACTGATGCACGTATGGAAGGACAAGGGCTCCCAACTTCGCGCTTCGCGCTGCGCGAAGCGCGAAGTGCGAATAACTTCGCGCTCTCGCGCCGCCTCCCAGGGGAGAAGAAGAGGATGAGGAGGGATCGGAGCCGAACCTCGAAGCGCGAAGCGCGAATGACTTCGCGCCCTCGAGGGCGCCCTTGAGGGAGGCTTCTGTTTTTCATCAACGCCAATGTTGGTTCGAGGCCAAATCATCACGATCAGCCGTCTAAGACTGTGCGACAGCTGCAGGGACGGAGGCCAGCTCCTTTGAAAGTTGGGGCTCTCGCTCGAGACGATCGCAGGCTAAATACAGTGGAGGCCAGTCCACAAGAAACTTTCTACAACCCTGAGACCCCAGGACGTCCACTGAATTTTGGTGTGGGAACGTCGCGCTCTCCACAGCAAAACCATCGAAACCCAAGAAACCCAGGGCACCCTGGAGGCAAGCAGGGTGTTTCTTGGCATGGGCCCACACTGTAACTAGGCTTATAAAAGTGGGTAAAGCTCCGCACCGATTGGGGCAGCTTTCGGAAGCGGGGCCCGCGCTGGACACGTCCATGAAACTTGTGGTCCTACCGCGTCACAACCAGTACATAGCTGGTAGCATGCACGGCAACTCCTTCTCAAAACGGAGCTCTCGCCTGCATTGCTTGCAGGACCATACAGTAGGGGCCCGACCACAAGAAACCTTCGACGAGAAAGCCACTCCTGAGACCCCAGGACGTCCATTCCTTTTTGGTGCGGGGACGTCACCCCTTCCATCGCAAAACCATCGAAACACAAGAAACCCAGGGCACCCTGGAGGCAAGCACGGTGTTTCTTGGCATGGGCCGAGTTTACTGTCGCCATCCTTCGCCTCATCCAACTCATCATCCTCATCCTCGTCCCCCTCCGTCTTATCCAACTCCTCCTCGTCCTCATCCTCCAACTCCTTCTCCTTCTCCTCCTCCTCGTCATTCTCCTCCTCCTCCTCCTCCTCCTCCTCCTCCACATCATCATCATCATCATCATCATCATCATCATCATCATCAGCAGCAGCAGCAGCAGCAGCAGCAGCATCATCATCATCATCATCATCATCATCATCATCATCATCATCAGCAGCAGCAGCAGCAGCATCAGCATCAGCAGCATCAGCATTGTCATCAGCAGCAGCATCCATCATCGGGATCCTCAGCATCAGCACCTTCATCATCCTCATCGTCATCATCATCATCATCATCAGCAGCAGCATCATCATCATCAACAACAGCAGCAGCAGTAGCATCATCAGCATCATCCTCATCACCATCATCAGCAGCATCAGCAGCAGCAGCTTCATCATCGTCATCAGCATCAGCATCATCAACATCGTCAACAGCATCAGCAGCATCATCAACCCCAGCATAATCATCAGCATCAGCATCATCAGTTTCATAATAATCGTCACCAGCATCATCAGCAGCAGCATCAGCATCATCATCAGCATCAGCAGCATCATCAGCATTATCGTGATCATCAACATCATCAGCAACAGCCTCAGCATCAGCATCAGCATCATCATAATTAGCATCATCATTAGCATACTCAGCATCATCAACAGCATCATCATCAGCATCATCAGCATCATCATCATGATCATCATCATCATCATCATCATCATCATCAGCAGCAGCAGCATCATCATCATCGACCTCAGCATCGTCAGCATCATCGTCGTTCATTTGATCCTCGTCCTCATCGTCATCATCGGCCTCCCGTCATCCTCATCCCCCTCCCTCCTCCTCCTCCTCCTCATCCTCCTCCTCAGCCTCGTCCTCCTCCTTCCCCTCGTCCGTCTCGTCCTCCTCCATCGAAAATGGCGCCATGTAACTTCCAGACCTCGAAACAGTAAGCCAGCCTCGAAACCTCCAGTAGGAAGGAGGGGAAACACGGTGAGGACGATACGAGGAGGAGGGAGAGGAGCGACGGAGGAGGAGGAGGAAAAGGAGGAGGCGGAGGAGGAGGAAGAGTATGAGGAGCAGGAGGAACAGAGGGAGAAGTAGGAGTGAGGTAGGAGAAGGAGGAGGAATGGAAATTGGAGGAGGACGAGGAGGAGGAAGAGTAAGCGGAGCAGGAGGAGGAGGAGGAGGAGAAGGAGAAGGAGAAGGAGGAGGCGCAGGAGGAGGAGGAGTGAGGGAGGAGGAGGAGGAAAAGCGAGGGAGGAGGAGAAGACAGAGGAGTGAGGAAGAAGGAGGAGGAGGAGCAGGAGGAGCAGGATGAGGAGGAGGAGGAGGAGGAAGAAGAGTAGAAGCAGGAAGCAGGGCAGGAGGAGAAGGAGGAGAGGAGGAGGGAAGGAGGAGAGAGGAGGAGGAGGAGGAGGAGGAGGAGGAGGAGAAGGACGAGCAGGAGAGAAGAGGTGAGGGAGGAGACGAAGAAATAGAGGAGGGAGGAGGAGAAGGAGGAGAGGAGGAGGAGGAGGAGGAGGAGAAGGACGAGGAGGAGGAGGGAGGAGGAGGAGGAGGAGGAGCAGCAGGAGCAGGAGTGAGGGAGGAGGAGAAGAAAGAGGAGTGAGGGAGGAGGAGGAGCAGGAGGAGGAGAAGGCGCAGGAGGAGGAGGAGGGAGAGAGGGGGAGAGGGGGAGGAGGAGAAGGAGATGGAGAAGGAGGAGGAGCAGGAGGAGGAGCAGGAGGGGCAAGAGGAGCAGGAGTGAGGGAGGAGGAGGAGAAAGAGGAGTGAGGGAGGAGGAGGAGCAGGAGGAGGAGGAGGAGGAAGAGGAGGAGGAGGAGGAGCGGTGAGGGAGGAGGAAAAGAAAGAGGAGCGATGAGGGATGGAGGAGGAGGAGGAGGAGGAGGAAGAAGAAGAGCAGCAGCAGTAGCAGCAGGAGCAGGAGTGAGGGAGGAGAAGAAAGAGGAGTGATGAAGGAGGAGGAGGCGCAGGAGGAGGAGGAGGAGGAGCAGGAGCAGGAGTGAGGGAGGAGGAGAAGAAAGAGGAGTGATGGGAGGAGGAGGACGAGGAGGAGGACCAGTGTAAACTAAAGAGTCATCAACGATGTTGGGATTGACCCTCCCTCCAAGCTCCCTCGTCAGAAGCCCCTACAACGGAACTGCCTCGGTGAAGACACCCTTGACGACCCTGAAGCATGCCAAAACATTGTTTTCGGTAATTTCAACGCCACGGATTAACCTGACTGCTGCGTCTTGACGATCCGGAATCGTGCCAGAACGCCATTTTTGGGACTTTAACACCGCGAGTCAACACAACTGTTGCACCCGCATAATCCTGAAGCCTTCCAACACACCAATTCTGGTACACTGTTCATGGGAATCTGTGAAACTCGTGCAATGTTTGAAAACGAATGTGCGCGGGGCTAAAACGAGGGCCACACTTTGAAACGGAACCGCCCTCAATCCGTGAAACTCTTGCACACATTTTAAACGAATGTGCACCGCGCTTAGGCGAGGGCCACATTTTGAAAACGACCCGCCCTCAATCCGTGAAATTTTTGCAAATGTTTAAAACGAGTGTGCGCTGCGCTAAAGCGAGAGCCACATTTTGAAAACGACCCGCCCTCAATCCGTGAAACTCTTGCAACTTTTTAAAACGAATGTGCGCGGCGCTACGGCGAGAACCACATTTTGAAAACGATGGGCCCTCAATCCGTGAAGCTCTTGCACACGTTTAAAACAAATGTGCGCGGCGCTAAGGCGAGAGCCACATTTTGAAAACGGACCGCCATCTATCTGTGAAACTGTTACCACTCTTTAAGCTTCCGAATCATGAATGGTGAGGACGTCTCAGGCGGAACGCCCGGCCCGCCCAAAAACTCGCCTCGGGATGCGACAAGGAGAAGTTATAGATAAGGAAAAAGAATGGAGGAGGAGGAGGAGGAGGAGAAGGAGGAAGACGAGTGAGGGAGGAGAAGAGGAAAGAGGAGTGAGGAAGGAGAGGAGGAGGAGCAGGAGGAGCAGGAGTGAAGGACAGGGAGAAGAAAGAGGAGTGAA